ATCACTAGTGCAATATATATTAAATAATTCTCTATTTGGAGAAATAATATACACAATTATTGATAATAGCCTCTTAATTAGCCTCTATGAAACTTCTAATATTATCTAGAAGTATTAAATATTATTATTGACCTCGCGAAATAAACTCCACAAAATTCGTAGATAATCTCTCGCGAAATGTAACACCACGAAATCCGTGAACAATCTCACGAAGACACAGTCACTAATTTGGCTGGTTTCTATATTAGCACTGTCATTTCACAGAATAACACGCCACCTAATATCTGTGGGTGTGCATGAAACCGCTGACGAAGCTGAACTGGGCTGAGGGAGGCTCCTGAGCTCCCTCGAGGCTACGCTGCCGTCTTGACTGCTGGCTTTGTTTAAATAACACTGCACTAGTTTATTTAATGAATCCACTGGTTAACTGGTTCATCCGGTACTAAGATGACCAAATGTGGGTTCATAGGACCGAATATTCCGGTTCCGAAGGTCCAAATAATGTGGGAACCGACCTGTGAGATTTATATTTATTTAATTTATATGAATTTATATTTACGTTAATTTATATACTTCGATAGCAATTTGTATAATGATAAGTGGACTGTATTTCTGCAATAATCTCTTAATCTCACAAATCGATCCTCTACACATTAGGGGGGTTTATATTTATATATATGCAGCCAATCAAACTACAGTAACTACATACATTGAAGAGGTTCCTTATCTTATAGTACAGCAGGTTAGTCCACCAGGTATAACTAGGGTGTAGACACCAAATTATCCTCTTTGAGGTAGCTTCCATATCACCCAGTAACTGGTGCACAAATCTTGCATCCTCGTCTTGACCTGTCAAAAGTGCGCTAGCTGTGAAGCCAGAATCCTATATATGACAAGTATATCAGAGAAAACACTATACAGTACATGGAACATTAAAGACCTGGCTTAATTACCTTTAGTTTGAGGCTTCCATGTAATCTAACCGGGTCACCCTATATCCTGACATTAATGGCCATAAATGAATGATAAACGGGTTTCGGATAGACTTAACTTGAATTGTAGACATCGTGTTGGAGATGGTACCTTTGGTTTCCATAACACTACGTCCAAGTAAAATTAACAGGAGCCGAATTTGCTCCCGTGTGAGCCTCTGGTCTCAATAAACAATGACTGTTTAACTCTCCATACAATTGACGTTACTGGCCGACATTGTCCAGAATGATAGGAGCCGAATTTGCTCCACACGTCTCGGAGGTGACACAACAATGGCTGCCCTCCTTCCCCACTCACGCCTGGCCTACTTTGTCCAGATTTCAGAAAGTGATAGAAGGGTCACATTTACTCTACTTTAATATTGATAATTAAGTTAATTTATATAAGATGTTTTTATGATGGTAAAGTCCAAAGACTAATGTATTTAAGAACAATTCCCAGCAGAATAGCTGGTGAATTATAATAGTATGTGGTGATGATATCCCGTTTTCTTTAGACGGTAATTCCACTACAAGTTACGTTTTCTATGGGTAACTTGTGGGTAATACAGCTATTATCTGTATGATTATTAAATGGTGTCGGATTTTCCGACAATATACAAGTTGGTCAACAAACAGCATTGTTTAAAAATAGTAAGACATGGGTTGACATTTAGGGGGTAAGGTAGGTTACACGGAGTTAATTAAGTAGAACTTAGTTTTCATCTTAAATTGGTTGAGAGAGGTACAGTCTTTGACATGATTGGGAAGGTTCATTCCACATTCTGTGTCCCTTGATTTGTAGAGCATTTCTAGTTTGATTAGGTCGTACTCTTGGAATATCAAATAGGAATTTGTTTCTGGTGTGGTGCTCATGAGTTCTGTTACAAACTTCTAGGAAGTTTTTAAGGTCAGGATTAACATTACAATTCAGAGTTTTAAATATATAGAGTACACATGAGAGGATGTGCAGTGACTTAATATCTAACACATTCAGAGATTTGAGTAAGGGTACCGAGTACTGTCTGGGGCCAGAGTTAGATATTGTTCTAATAGAAGCTTTGTGTTGGGTAATTAGAGAACGTAAATGATTTTGGGTAGTAGAACCCCAAGCACAAATACCATAGTTGTGATAAGGATAGATGAGGGAGTAATAGAGCTTCACCAGGGCAGGACGTGGAACATAATATCTGATCTTAGAAAGAATGCCAACAGTTTTAGAAACTTTTTTTGATATATTTAGAATGTGTCCCTGGAAATTCATCTTGTTATCGATGAGGATACCAAGGAATATACCATCAACTTTACTACTGATGGAGACTGGGAACCATTCAGGCTTGTTCGCACTACTGATTTGTATATTGTTTATTCCTAGATTAATTTCATTTGAGGATTTATTACCAAACAAAATATAGAAAGTTTTGTCAATGTTAAGGGTGAGTTTGTTAGCAGTTGGCCAAAGATGGACTTTATTTAGTTCCGTATTCACAGTGACACAGTGCGCTGCCCGAAACGCTGCGCGTGCTAGTGGCTTTACAAGACTGTAATTACCATATTTGTATCCTCACATTCCTTATGTACATTCTTGTATATGCATAAATAAATAAATAAATAAATTTAGAGCAAGAGGGGTCAGGACTAGAGAAAATGAAAGTTGTGTCATCAGCAAATAAGATTGGTTTGAGATGTTGAGAGGCATTTGGAAGGTCATTAATGTAGATGAGAAAGAGGAGAGGGTCAAGTATGCTGCCCTGTGTAACACCAATGTTTATGAGTAGTGTAGGAGAAATGGAATTATTCACAGAAACATACTGGAGCCTGTCAGTAAGATAAGACTGAAGATATTGCAGGGAGTGACCTCTGACTCTATAATGTTGTAATTTAAGAAGAAGGTTTTGGTGGTGTTGACAGTGTCAAAAGCCTTACGTAGGTCTACAAATAACCCAACAGGGAACTCATTTTTATCAAGAGCTGTATGTATCAAGTTAATCATACTAATAAGTGCATCGTTAGTGCTTTTATTGGGTCTGAAACCATATTGGCAAGAGCTAAATATATTGAGTTTGTTTAGATATGAGTAAAGCTGCTTGTAGATTAGCTTTTCAAATATTTTTGACAAGGTTGGCAGAATTGAAATAGGTCTGAAGTTGTTGACATCAGTGAGATCGCCGCATTTGTGGACAGGGGGTTACTCTCGTTTTTTTTTTTTTTTAGAATATCCGGAAAGGTTTGGAGTTCAAGTGATTAGTTGAAGAGCAATGCAATGGCAGGAGCCAGAAATTTGGAGGCTCTTTTGTAAATTAGGGATGGTATCTCATCCAGGGCGCTTGACTTAGTTTTAAGGGAAAGGATTACGTCATTAACATCAGAGGAATTAGCAGGAGCTAGGTACAGAGACTCTGGATAGTTACCTGTAAGGTAGTCTTTAGTATTATTGAGTGAGGATGGAATATCATGAACAAGGGATGTCCCAATGGATGAAAAAAAACTATTGAATTCAATAGCAGTGTTTGAGGCTGAAAGCACACCATTGTCATTAGATAGGAGAATTGGTTTTTTATTCAAAATCATTTTTGATCCTAATATTTGGGAGATAGTGCTCCATGTTTTCTTAATCTTGCCCTTAATTTGGGTAAATTTATTTTCGTAGTATTATATTTTGGCTCTTCTATTTATTTTAGACTAGCTTTTTTCGCCCAATTTTCTCCATTAGCTTGCATGGTATGCAAGTTAGGGACACTGGCCTATAGATCAGTGCCTCCAGTCTATCCCCCTTCTTGTATATCGGGACTATGTTTGCCGCCTTCCAAACTTTTGGCAGTTCCCCTGTTACCAGTAATTTGTTATACACCGTAGAGAGTGGCAGGTACAGTGCTTCTGCTCCTTCCTTTAGTATCCATGGTGATATTCCATCTGGGCCTATAGCCTTTGTCACATCCAACTCTAGCAAAAGCTTCATCTATCCAAATTATACCATGCATATATTACTGTTTAACGTAACCATCCTATACCTTGTATAGTCCTGCTTTAATCTACCCAAATTATCCATGATTATCACTGTTTACTCCTTTATTTGTTCAGCTTAAATACAAGTATATTATAATACGGTCTTAACCTATTTACTTGTTCAGTTTCAGTTTGTCTTGTATTTCCTCCGCAATTTATTCTCTGTTTTCTAGCACTGCTTAAGCCTCATGCCTCTCTTGCTGTTTTGGCCTCGCTATGTTATTTATATTATTTCTTTAAGTTTTCTAAAATTAATTTGTTACATAGTCCAGCTTCAGTTATGCCAGGTATTTACTTAATAACACTGTTGCAGTGTTAAAGCAGTGTCCATTTCTAGTGGGATACTCAAATAATTTTGCTTTTCACTTTTGAGATTAATATTGTTTGAATTCTTCCAAACTATACCACGAATAATACTGTCTTAATATAAACAAACTATACCATGAATAATACGGTCTTATTATAACCAAACTATACCATGAATAATACTGTTCAATATATCCATGAATATTACTCTCTTAATCTATTTAACTGCTCAGCTTTTTTTTTTTTAGATATTTTTTTTTTTGAGATATATACAAGAGTTGTTACATTCTTGTACAGCCACTAGTACGTGTAGCGTTTCGGGCAAGTCCTTAATCCTATGGTCCCTGGAATACGATCCCCTGCCGCGAAGAATCGTTTTTTCATCCAAGTACACATTTTACTGTTGCGTTAAACAGAGGCTACAGTTAAGGAATTGCGCCCAGTAAATCCTCCCCGGCCAGGATACGAACCCATGACATAGCGCTCGCGGAACGCCAGGCGAGTGCCTTACCACTACACCACGGAGACTTTTATTACATTGGCTTTTATTACGATAGCATTGGCTATGTCCGGTATTCTCACTCACTATGGTCACTTAACTTTACCTTTGCTTTTGTCTACTTGTGTATGTGACGGTTGCCGGTGCGGCAGCTGGGTCTCCCTGCCTGCTTTTTTTCCCGTTAGTCCTACCGATGCTTACTTTTTCATTTACCGCAGTGGCGAGAAGCCGGATCACGCAGCAACTGCAACACGGAAGAGGGCTCAGGCGGCGTCGTGCGAGGACAACAGCGCAGTGGTGTGAGGACGCAGCCGGCCTGGGCCAGGACGAAACCCGCCCGTTTCGCCTCCCCCTCCTCGGGCGGCTCTGATGTGGACGGCGACCACACTTCCCAGAGGCCCCCTGCCGGCAAAGCGGCGGGTGGCACAGCGTCGCAGCCTCCACCCCTTTCGGCCGACGATTGGGCCCATCGCGCAGGCTCGGGGGCCCTCTCATGTCACAAGCCTTCTGGGCATGGGGACCACGAGGCCGACCCTGCCGCGGCTGCCACAGCCGCCCTGCCCCCCACCTTCACCGACCGTCGCCCACGGGACAGGGCCAGGGGGCATAAGTCGAGGCGACGTGCGAGCTCCTCCAGTCTGTCCTCCTTCCTTCCCAGTTCGGTAGCGTAGTTGCTCTGCCACCCTGAGGTTTCCCTCGCGGCCAGCGGGCACTCGCCCTTCGGGGAAGGGGGGGGGGGTGTCCGGCCTGCGGGATGGGGGTGCAGCGCCCCTCCCCAACTGTTCCGCTGTCCGCAGCTACTACTTTGACTTTACAGCCATTCTACTAGTAAGCCCTAACTTAAGTCAGGAAATTCTTTCTCCTTATTCCTTGGCGGCTCGGCCTCTGGCCTGGGGTTATTTTCTTCTCCAAATTCATATCAGGCTTTCCCAGTCTCGATGTAATTTTCTGCCGCCTGATTATTTTCCAGCTAGGGTTTCCATTATGTTATGGTGTCCTGACTGTTATACTTAGATTTAGATTTGTTGCATTCGCCTCACTGCTAATTCTAGACAATAGGCCATTAGGTTTCTGCAGAGTTTGTTACTAGGCTACAAGATTACTTTTATTTTACTACGGGTGTACAATTTAAGTTGTTTCATGTACTTTGAGTTAGCCACGGCTATGTTATACATTTGTTAAGACCTACTTAGAAGCCTGTTTTACTTCTGCAGAATTATTTATCCTGTACTAATAAATTTACACCCCCATGTGTTGGCGTCTTCCTTCCCCTGATCAGAAATTCAACGTCATTTCGCCGCACACTTTACATGCATTCTAGGTACTAGTAAGCTCTACCGTTAGTCCGGGAATTCTTATTTCTCCTTACTCCTTGGCGGCACGGCCTCATGGCCTGGGTTAATTTTTCCTCCAAATTAACATAGGCATTTCCCAGTCTTTATGTAAAATCCGCACGCACTGGTTAATTTCCATATTAACTCAACTAGGGTTTAGCATTATGTCTTATCTGGTCTAGTCTTGGCCAGGCTTCCTTATTAAATGTCACGTTGTTTATTCTCATTATATTTACTTGAAATGTCCTGATTGTCTATTTCAGTTATGTTATGTTGACTTATAATTTTACTCCTAGACAATAAGCTTATTTGGTGTTCTGCAGGTTTTGATTTATCTTGTTATTTGGCTATAACCATATTTTATTAATGTTACTACGGGTGTTCATATTAAATTGGTTCAGCTGTACTTAAAGTTATCCACGTCTATGTTACAGCATTTGTCACGTACTCACTTATAGCCGCCTTATTTACATGTTCTGCAGAAATTGATTTACTTGTATTCTGCTACTTAATAAATAAGTCCCCATACTGGTGGTGTCTTTTTTCTCGCTGATGAGAAAATTTCTTTATATATACAAGAGTTTCGATCCGAAATGCTATGCGTTGTTGAAACGTTAGTTTAATTCGTTTATTATGCACCCAATACCCATCTTGTGGCCGGTAGTGGAAAGGGTTACAGAGGCACATAATGGGCTCAGGGACTGAACCCCACAATTCATTTAGCTATGCAAGTTACAATCTTGATGAGCTAGTTACAAAATTCAGTATAAGTCGTCACATCAACAATGGGTTCGAGATCGACCACAAGTACAGTTTCTAAATTAAGCAACTGACATATGTGGAGAGCTAGTGTCACAATTGATATGTTTGTCCTGCACACCGCCCCCCCCCCCCACCATCCAGTGCGCAGCGGTGGATAGGTTGCGTTGTTGAAACACATAGTGTTGCTATGCATCAAGAGTTGCCCGAAACGATATGCATGCTAGTGGCTTTACAAGAATGTATAATCAACTTCATTTCTATGTTCTCTCTTAACCCCCAATGTACCTTCTTGTATATAAATAAATAAATAAGGGAAGGGAATTATCAGGGGAAGCGCCAAGTCATTATGATTATATAACAATGGGAAGGGGGTCAGGATAAGGATTTGGGATGGGACGGTGGAAAGGAATGGTGCCCAACCACTTGGACGGTCGGGGATTTAACGCCAACCTGCACGAAGCGAGACCGTCGCTCTACCATCCAGCCCAAGTGGGCTGGACATAAATAAATAAATAAATAAATAAATAAATAAATAAATAAATAAATAAATAAATAAATAAATAAATAAAGTTCTTTCATTCTTGTACAGCCAATAGCACACATAGCGTTTCGGGCAGGTCCTTAACTTCCCTGGGGCGTTCGGGAACCATTCCCGTAGAGGTTCTTGCTGCTCGGCATTTGCCTCGCCCTTGGGGCCAGCTGGGGGTTGGGGCTTAATCCTATTTTCCCCGCAATACGACCCGCCAAATCGTTTAACAACCAGGTACCCATTTTACTGATGGGTTAAACAGAGGCTACAGTTAAGGATTTGCGCCCAATAAATCCTCCCCGGCCAGGATACAAACCCGGCCAGTACAAAGCGCTTGCGGTACACCAGGCGAGCGTCTTACCACTACGCCAGGGAGTAATCTGGAAAGGCTGCGAGAAATGCACCTCATGATATTGGAAGACAGAAGAGTAAGAGGAGACATGATCACTACCTACAAAATTCTCAGAGGAATTAACAAGGAAGATAAGGATAAAGTGTTTAACACTGGTGGTACGCGAACAAGGGGACACAGGTGGAAACTGAGTACCCAAATAAGCCACAAGGATGTTTGAAAGAACTTTTTCAGTGTTAGTGTAGTTGTTAACAGATAGAATGCATTAGGCAGTATGATAGAGCCCAATAGGCTGTACACCAGTTGATTGACAGTCGAGAGGCGGGACCAAAGAGTCAGAGCTCAACCCCCGCAAGCACAACTAGGTGAATACACAAACACCCCCCCCCCCCACCTCACTGTTGCCGGGGGTGGGGGGGGGAGTAAGATGAGCGGGCCACCACAGTTGCAACACGCCGCCACCCCGCACACGCCTCACCAGTGGAACTTTCCTCTCCAAGCCGAGCGACCCCCTCAAATGTTTCCACCATAACAACACCTTATATAATCTCCACTTTCTCCCGTGTGCTGTTTTGTTATGTGTGTCATAATATTTGTTACATACTAACTGTCACATAGTGACTTAACATACAATAATTACACTGTGACTGCCGTAGAGAGTCAGGTGTGTGACAATGTTGGAGGGAGTCAGGTGTGTGACAATGTTGGAGGAGTCTTGCGGAAGGTTACGAAGCGTGACACTTGGCTTCACCCGCAGCCTACACAACTTACAACTTATATTTTCACTCATTCAGTTAATTTTCTGAGTAATATGCGTATGATTATATATTAATTGTAATTCCATTCTCCTGGAAGTTGAATTGATTCAATCGTACTTCCATTCATAATTTAGGATATGCCGTATGAATTTACAAGTAAGAAAAAAAGGAAAAACTGTCCCGACCCACCAGGCTGGAGGCTCTGCCAGCAGCCATAGACCCGCTAAATTTTAATTTTTTTTTTTTTAAATTTTGCCCCGAGGGGCGAGTTTATTGGGCAGCGCCACTCATCTTGTGAGTGAACATACCGCCATAGCAGAATGTACAACACTCCCCAATAGGAAGAAAACCCGCTGGGTTGTTCATCCTGTCACTTGGTAGAAAATAATAAAAAAAAAAAAAAAAAAAAAAAAAAAAAAAAAAAAAAAAAACTTGTACCCAAACACAGCTGGGACTTGCTTAACTGTCTGTGTATGGGGCAAGTAACAAAGTCAGTAGACTAACAGATGTTGTCACAGCTCGTATAAGACTTGGCTACAAGTATCTCTGGCAGTTCGGCTTGTATAGGGATCTAGATGAAGTAAAGTGTAAAGTGTGTGGACATGGGCAGGGACACACACTCGAACACTATATCTTGGATTGTTGTAAAATTGAGCCTTTTAGAGATAAATCTGGGCTCACTCTGTATGATATGGCAACCTATCTTATTACCATGGATAAATTACCTGAAATCCTTGCACTGTACCCACATTTTGCTTCCAGTAGATGAACGACATATGAGATTCAGAAACAAGTAGTGTATTGTGAGGACTAATAATAAACAGAAGCTTCCCTATGACTCTGTAATATCCCCATTGGCCAAACTATTATGTATTAACGACAAGACCTACCATTAATGTATGATGACTTACTGTAAATATGTAGCTCTTGTAATAGCACTTTCTCTGTAACTAGCTGACATTGTATCTATAAGGTGTGAAGGATTGAAGAAATTGTTTATGTAATAATCTAAGATGAGGTCTGATAAAGACCTTTTGTGCCCTCTGTAATGCTTTTGCGCTACCGCTCACAGGATGAGTATGGGGTGCACAATAAACTAGCCGCCTTCGGCGGCAACAATCAAATGTCTCAAGTGAACAGCTCCTCAAACAAGAAGATTAACAGACCCGCTAGTTATGGCGCCAGACCTTTGTCTTCATCAACTGCCTTCACTCTCTTAATAAGTCTTTCACTCTCCATTGATCTGTTATTGCTGCCACTGGCACACAAGCACCTAGGCACTGGCACTGGCGCTATCGTACAGTTAGTTTAGTTCGTTTATTATGCACCCCATACCCATCTTGTGGGCGGTAGAGGAAAGGGTTACAGAGGCACATAATGGGCTCAGGGACTGAACCCCACAATTCATTTAGCTAAGCAAGTTACAATCTTGATGAGCTAGTTACAAAATTCAGTATAAGTCGTCACATCAACAATGGGTTCGAGATCGACCACAAGTACAGTTTCTAAATTAAGCAACTGACATATGTGGAGAGCCTAGTGTCACAAGTTATATGTTTGTCCTGCACACCGCCCCCCATCCAGTGGGCAGCGGTGGATAGGTTACAATCACTTAGTTACTACCTACAGTTAGCAAACTGGGGATATTTGGCTAAGACTTCTGGTAGCAGATAATTTTGAATGAAATATTTACACATCGTTGGAACATTGGTTATAGAATTGCCTCTGAATTCACGTATCTTTTCGCACTCCATCACATAGTGACGGAGGGTGTGCGAATAATTTTGTTGACATAGTTTACATTTGATCAGGTCTACATCTGCACATAATGAGAATTCCCAGAGATACTTGTAACTGAGTCTAAGCCGAGCAGTAGTAACATGTAGAAGTCTACGATGGAATTACTGGTGTCGATTTCCCTTTGCCTCAGATCTACAAGATCTTGTTGAAGTTCTCGGTGTACTGCTGCTCTCAGATTGCTCATTGACAATCCAGATGTCAAACTTCTTGAACCATTTAGTCACCCAGGCAGTCAAAAATGTTTAAATGTTGGCTTAAGACGTGGACAATATTGTACACGCACCATATAAAAATACATTAATAATAATAATGAAACCTGATAGAGTGAAGGATGTGGCCCCACTGGTTAAGTCAGACATTGGATGGGTGACCACGTAGACAGCCTCGCCCTGGATTGACCTCTATAGGCCTAACAGGCTTACTGTCCTCACTAAATGTTTCAATACGTTCATAACGGCAGTTTCAATATTAACATTGGTGAATAGAGGTTATTGTGATAATGGCAATATTAATAGCTATTATAAAACATTTCATAAAAGTAAAAAATCCCAATAACAATATGTGACATGAGAGACATTAGGAATATGTGTAGAATAATAAACCCCACATTGTTTGAGTTAGGAAAACACTATTTGTCAAATATTGATAATGTTCTTAAAAGATTTCCCCATTTTGCACCCGCAAGATAACGTAAGCTTTTTAGGGTTGACAGATGTTAATCTTCTTGTTTGAGGAGCTGTTCACTTGAGACAGTTAAGCAAGTCCCAGCTGTGTCTGGGTACAAGTGACAGGATGAACAACCCAGCGGGTTTTCTTCCTATTGGGGAGTGTTGTACATGCTGCTATGGCGGTATGTCCACTCACAGGATGTGCGGCGCTGCCCAATACTGTCACTATGGCGGTGTGTCCACTCACAGGATGTGTGGCGCTGCCCAATACTGTCACTATGGCGGTGTGTCCACTCACAGGATGAGTGGCGCTGCCCAATACTGTCACTATGGCGGTATGTCCACTCACAGGATGAGTGGCGCTGCCCAATACTGTCACATTGGCGGTATGTCCACTCACAGGATGAGTGGCGCTGCCCAATACTGTCACTATGGCGGTATGTCCACTCACAGGATGAGTGGCGCTGCCCAATACTGTCACTATGGCGGTGTGTCCACTCACAGGATGAGTGGCATTGCCCAATACTGTCACTATAGCGGTGTGTCCACTCACAGGATGAGTGATGCTGCCCAATACTGTCACTATGGTGGTGTGTCCACTCACAGGATGAGTGACGCTGCCCAATACTGTCACTATGGTGGTGTGTCCACTCACAGGA